TTGTCCTTAAGCTAGTCTACTTGCTTCCTCAGAATTCGAACCTGGGTCATTCTATCGTGAGCGCCTCTTCCTGCGGGAATGACAACTCTTCTGGGTAATGCAATATTACTTAGGGCAGAAACAAAAAAATGACGTCCTCTCCTCTGCTGACACGTACTTTCTTCCGTGCCTCTTCTTCACCCTATGAGTACAGCTCGACTTGTTTGCGACATAGCCGATGATATACGACAGCAAAAAAAACGTTCCTTTCGCCACCTTCCCAGTCGAAGAGATACGACGTCTACGGAGAAACGTAATAGCAAAATAAATCAGCCTCATTGCATAGATGTTGATGAAGATTTGGGTTTGGGCTGATGAAAACGTCAGGCGATTCAATCCTAATTCGCTTACTTTGCCGATGACATCCTCACTCTTTTTTACCATGGGTTCCTTTTTTACTGCATACCCAGTCCAGATAAACAGAGAGTTTCAGTTCACCTTCCCACCCCATCCACTTCCTCTGATTTTTCTATTATCTGAAATAGTCGGGTCAAGAAGCCAGCTTTTGTTTTTCAAGTTATTGGAAACCTGTAAGAGGCTTACGACTACAAAATCTTCATTCATCGCTTTCATCACAGCATAAAGTGCGATAATCTGATTTACAGGAAATCCTTTGAAGGAGAAGATGACCTTATCAGTGTTAATCGACAAAAAGCAGCTCAGAGTGGGCTCAACCAGAAGTTTGCATTTTGAACCCTTCGAGTAGGCTCAACCAGAAGTTTGCATTTTGAACCCTTCATTTTGAACCCTTNGTCCTTTTTGAGCTTCTCAGAACTTGACTGCCTTCTGAGTGTCCAGCGGATTGAGCAAATCATTCTAATAAACAAAACATTCAGGTAGTTACCATATGCTAACTTCATACATGTGCTGAATCCTAGGGAAAGGTTCATAGTACCCACGAGCCAGCCACAGCTACTTCCTGCTCCCATCTGCACCTAAAAGTTCCTAGAAGAGACTAGACCCTTCAATAGACTAAAGAAGTTGTCATTAAGACTTATCATGGGGAATCAGCTCTTATCCCGTGTTAGGAGCAAGCTATAAAGAGGCTTGCGAGATGCTAATCATTTTCCAAAGCTCGATAACGTTGAAAAAACGTTTCGTTCACAAATTCAAGCAGCGGCTAGATTCCCAAAGAAGGTCCAATGCACTTTCATTGGCTCGATGAAACACGTCTTCTGACATTCAGATGGTTATTAGCTATTCCCTCCCCTATTGCCTTCGAAAAAAACTGCTGATCCGCTTCTTATAGATGTAGCCTATAAATCTTCAGCCCCATGTTGAATACATTTGACTGACTAGTCGTTTTTATTAGACTTTTCCAAGTATTAGAAGCCAAAACACACCTTTACCACTGAATACCTCGTTTTAGTGCCTTTTACCATAAAAAATCGAAAATTGGTGAAATACTCTGTAGAAATTCAAACTTAAGATCTCCAACCTTGAGAAAGTCTGTGTTGCCGGAAGCCACTTTCTTCACGATACCATCGTGGGAATACGGTAATTTTTGATTAGTTGTTTTCATGGGGAACATCTGCCGGCACGAGGGACAATGTAACGTAGCAATCACATGCTCCTCGCTTGGATTAGCTCAATCGAGAGGCATATGAACAAATGGATTATGACAGCTACATAGGATGACTAGTCTTTTCTCGATGATCCCACGAACCCGATTATGGGAAGCATGATGAGGACGGCCTTTTCTCTCCTGCTTTCCCCTTTTTTCTTTCTTCATCCTCTCATATTTGGAATTAGGGATCGCGAGCGCCATTGAGAGCTTTTTGTATGCTCAATCGCTCAGATCTCGTTTAGATTACCGAATAAGCAGAAGAATTCAAGCTTGAAATGTCAGGTCCTGAAACGAATCGCTCTACTTATCTGAAACACATAGGCAGACAGCAGGAGTAGCAAAAATTAGTTAACTATAATTCTTGATAAGAACGTTTTTGCATTAACTATAAACTTAATATGGACCCTAAATAGTTGCATGGAGTCTTAAAGCCTTTGGTGTCGTCCAAGGGATGCGCCATGCGCTGGACTTCTATTCAGAATGGTAGTAGCGTATTGAATGGGTGTGGGGCCTGTGCAATCACTTGTGGTGGCCTGCCGATGTACAAGCCAATGCTTTAACTTCCCAAATGGATCTGGTACCAATTAATCGACCCTGGAGGGATGCAAGGCTTGTTAGCCTACGCGGACATGGATCCGGGATTCGAAACCGTGACCGTGTGTGTTGAAAATGCGTCACTTGCCACTACACCAAATGAAGTAACTGATCAGTTATATCTCAGAAGAAAAACCTTTATGCCAACTAAGAGATTGAAGCGGTTCTAGTTATAGGAATTATAACCAAAAAGAGTTTAGGAAAGCTAATACGGGATTTTTCTTAGAATATTCCATCACTTGGCAGACGGGTTTGTGAGAATCCCGCATTTCCAACTATATCGTTCTTAGAATACTCTTGTCATCGTGGGAGAATACGTGATTTCACGCTGCACGTCTCATCTGCAACAGGCCCACCCAGGAAATATTATCAAGGAAGTTCACTAAGACAGTGCGCTCATGGAGAGATTTGGAACTTTAAGCACTCCGGGTGATGCCCTTAATGTTTCTTAGAAACAGCAACTAGGGCAATGAAATGGGAAGGTGGCTCTACTCTCTGCAGAACTTGTGCACAGACTAATTCCCTTACCACATTACCGTACCTCCACCACCTCTGAATCAAATACTCCATGTTGAATTCCAGCTTACGCAGCTTGAACCCCTTGGAGTTACAGCAAACCACTTCTTAGCGTAGTGGCACCCTTGCTGCTTGTTCAGTAGTCATTGCAGGAAAGGACGCCGTTATCATTAAACTAATTCTGCTTTTATTTCAGGGCTACCGTACCTATGTGGCTCTTACATACATCGGCTTCAACATTGTCGGCTTCGTCGTGAATTTCTGGGTGTTGTACGTAGTTGCACCATTGCTGTTCGCGCCGGCAGTTAAGGTAAGTGCTTTTTCTTGACCATTCAGGGGTAAATGACAGTGATACGTATTTTGCGCATGATTTCCTATTACGATTAGCCTTCCCGCTTTTGCGGCAATATCGATTTCATCAGGTCTCTCATGAAGATAAACATACTTTATATTCATGGAAGGAGCCTAAAAAGAGTGATGTGTCAATTGACTCCTTTGAAATTCTCTCCCAGCTCCTGAACGCCGCTCAAATGAGAGGATAAATTGGCAATCTACTTTTTCGAGATATCCGTCACCCGCTCATCTATCATGCTGAACTGAAATGGAAGCTAGTAGATACGATGGCGCTTGAGCCCTCTTCTACGCGGCTTTGTATTCCATCCTATTAGAGGAGGTTGGAACTGGCCGGAGGCGATTTATCGCTACCGAGGTATAGTGCGTACGGCTGGCTTCAAGTGGAAGGACGTGGGAAGGAATATGAGCGGTAAGAAAAGCAAAGGGCTTCTCCTTCCCATCCAATCGACCTTTATTCATGTGCGCCCTATCATTATTTATGTGTTTTTGCACAATTTCATGGAATCGAAGGATGCTTAGGTTTAGAAGTGAGTGCTCCCGATCTCAATAACGAGTGTGGTACCAAGCAGCCAGATCCAATTCTGAATTTGACCGATATACTTCAATAGATACAGGGAATAATACAGGATATGGGTCAGGCCGTTCCCGTGGCGACTGTCTCGAAGTCGTAGACAGCCAAGCGATTCCCACAAACCATGGCAGGATCCCCTCAAATCAGGGAACCCAGCCTGCGCTTCTGAGGTTGTTTCTGAGTTTATACATACAACCGCACTGCATTATTCATCCCAGGATTTTGAAATCATACTGGTTGATAGCACTGTCCTAGGAAGCTACAGGTGGAGATTTCGGAAGCAGACGGGTTTGAACTAGCTGCGTAGTTTCCAATCTTTGATGCTTATCCCTTGCGCCTCTCATACTACCATGCATTCTGTTTAAACTTCTCAGGACTACTGTAGACGTATGATTGCGAGCGATCAGTACAGACATTTCGTTTCAGGTGCCAAAAAGCATACTCTTCTTCATTTTCGCTTTGGTTATCGGTGATTTGACGACTATGATTGGTGAGTGGTCGGTGAGGGTTTTGCAAGAACTCCTTGAAGATGATCATTTATTTCAGCGATGCTGTTACTTATAATCGAACTCGTATTTGGTACTTGGCGATTCAGTACTGCTGCATGTACTTCATATCTTGTTCTGGATTCGATGAACAAGTAAGTTTCACCAAGGAACATAGGAATAATAAAACTCGCACCTTCTCTCTCCCCTCGCTTGTTGGTTTTTTGGGTGGAAATCAGGTTTATCGCATCATGAAAGGGCAGTCAGAACTCCTGTGGCCTAGTCTGAGTCAGTAGGACACCCTCACATTCTAGCATATTAATGTGTTTCATCAAATTATCACATCATATCATCTAATATTGATAAATGGCACCCACACAAAACACATTAATTAATTACTAAGATGTTCGGAAAGTTTCACCAAGGAACATAGGAATAATAAAACTCGCACCTTCTCTCTCCCCTCGCTTGTTGGTTTTTTAGCGATCAGTACAGACATTTCGTTTCAGGTGCCAAAAAGCATACTCTTCTTCATTTTCGCCTTGGTTATCGGTGATTTGACGACTATGATTGGTGAGTGGTCGGTGAGGGGGGTTTTGCAAGAACTCCTTGAAGATGATCATTTATTTCAGCGATGCTGTTACTTATAATCGAACTCGTATTTGGTACTTGGCGATTCAGTACTGCTGCATGTACTTCATATCTTGTTCTGGATTCGATGAACAAGTAAGTTTGACCAAGGAACATAGGAATAGAAAATCTCCCACGAATTCATCTCGACGCTGGTTTTTTGGGATTGAAGTCAGGTTTATCGCATCATAAAAGGGCAGTCAGAACTCCTGTGGCCTGGTCTAAGCCTATAGGACACCCTCACATTCTAGCATATTAATGTATTTCATCAAATTATCACATCATATCATGTAATATTGATACATGGCACCCACACAAAACACATTAATTAATTACTAAGATGTTCGGAAGGTACGTGTCAGT